AAGAACTGCATTCCTCAAGCCCTTCTCATTTTTTTGGTAGAAGGCCTTCATCTGCCCTCCCTGTCAGGAAGAAGCCAGAGCCTGCCTTCCTTTTGAGAATGGAAAGGTGAGAATGGTGATGACAAAAGATGCCTGAGCCCTGACCGGTTTGGCTCAGGGGATAGAGCCTTGGCCTGCTGACTGAAAGGTCCCAGGTTTGATTCCAGTCAAGGGCATGTACCTTGGTTGTGGGCACATCCCCAGTAGGAAGTGTGCAGAAGACAGCTGATTGGTGTTTCTCTCTCATCGATGTTTCTAACTCTCTATCCTTCTCCCTTCCTCTCTGTAAAAAAATCAATAAAAATAAAAAGACATCTGGGTCAAATGAGGTCCTTGGGCTGCTTCTGGGGAAACATACCGGTTCTGATGGTCCAGAGGGCAAGCGAGGGCAGGAGAAAGCATGAGGGATCGGACAGTGTAAGGCCAGGCCCTCAAATCATGTCCTTGTATTTCTTTCTGCCCAAGGCCAGCACCTAGGGCCACATGAGTTGCACAGAACAAAGCTGGTTTCATGCCCCAAGGACTCTGTTCCCACCCAAGTGTTAAGTCCCTTTGTGTGCACTGATTTGGCTTCCAAAGCACAAGCCTTTCAGCCAGTGCCAAACACCCGTGCTTGGTGCTGGTCTTCAGTGGTGAACTGTGTAAACAGGGTAAAGGCCCCACTCCTCTGCACCTGGCAACGTCTAAGGAAGATCAGGCCTCCACACGGTTCAGAGACATGGCTCCATTTTATTTTATTTTTTTAATAGAGACAGAAAACTATGGCTCTACTAGAAGAAAAGCAACCCAACTGTGAGGATTGAGAACTGAGCAGAAGGTAGGGACAGAAGCAGAAATGGAAAGTGCTGTCCCTTTTAAAGAGGGCGGTATCGGCGGTGCCACCTGGGAAAGCCAGCCAGCAGTTGCCTGAGACTCCTATTTCCAAGAGAAGTCAGAAGCCTTGATGTTTTGTGTGTGAATTCTGCCAATCCTAAATATTCACTCTTAATTTTTTAAAATTATTTATGCTGAATAAAATGTTTGCCAGCTGCTTTGACTGAAGCAGCCATTTTGTGAAGCTAGTCTAGAGGTTAATGAGATGCAATCAGCTGGTTACAACCAGCTTTTATGAAGTTGATGTTTCCCATTGTGACTGCAAAAATTAGCCTGCGGTCTGTCAGAAATGAGGGTCAGAGTGAGTCAAGATCTGAATCACAAGCCCACACGAAGACGTTTGCCATTACTACTTATTTCTACCTAACGGCTTTTTAAAATAAATGTCTAGGATAATTAAAGGGAGAGTGTCTACAATACAGTTTCTTTTCTAATCTTTGACATGAGAATGCAACTAACTGGAGACTTTTTACAAGGTCCAATGAGAAAGTGAAAAGAAAAGATTCTTAACCCTGAGTGACAACATGCTGTTGACAAATGCATTCTGGGCTGTCCAGGGGACCGGATGATTTTTTATTTTATTTTTTTAATCTGGGATCCCTGAAGGGTGAACACATGTCTGATGGGGTGGCTGGTGCCTGAATATGCTCCTTCCCTGCTTCCAGACTGGGGCTGGACAGATGATTTCTCAACTGTTCTCTCCACCCAGCCCCTCCCTCCTTGCTCTGCTTACAGGGATGACATCAGAAGCAAGTGGGATCAGAAGAGGACAGCTTTAGTTGTGTGTTTAGATTTTAAGTCAAAATAAGGTTAGAGGGCTTCCTTACAACAGACGAGGCTCTGGTAGACATAGGTATGGGTAGACATAGGTATGTGGATGCTCACACCACAGAGCAGTGAGGTATACTTTCTCGCAGCTCACCCTTTGATGCAAAGACACTACCCTCCATCCTCATCTCATGTTCCTCACCTCCTCCAAAAACCATCGAAGGCAGCCTATAGGCAAAGGCATGCACACACCACAGAGCAGTAAGGTGACTGAGAAGAGTGAGTCGACCGCAGACAGAGCCCAGTCTCTGCTAGGTTCCAGCTACTTGGTGAATAGCCCAAGGATCCTCTTGCTCCAGAGTTGCTTTAATCCTAATACTTTTCCAATCACCACCCAACACAAGATGCTTAATACTGGTTTTTTAAATTCTGCCACGCCTCTGTCTTTACTTCTCCACCTTGTCAACTCTTTGCTAGGACAGTTTTCCCTGCCACGGGCAGGTCTGACTACTCCTCACCTTCCCAACCTTTTAGCAGGGGTGGGGAACCTTTTTTCTGCCAAGGGCCATTTGGATATTTATAACATCATTGGTGGGCCATACAAAATTATTAACTTAAAAATGAGCCTGCTATATTTGTCAAATATTTAATTAACTCACACATAATGCAACCTTATACAGCCCCCGACCTGGACATTCCCCACCCCTGAAAAGTATCAAACTATCCATGAGGCCTTTCCCCAAACTTGCAATCAATTCTTTTCCAGATTGACATGTTAGGAGGCCTCCTGTCACAGGATGGGTTCTCTGAAAATAGACTCTAAGGTACAAACTATTGTAATGTAACCTGTTGAGATGAAAAATGTTCATTTCAGACCAACACCTGAGAAAGGAAAGGCAAGGACACAAGCCTGACAGGAAGCCTGTGCTGTGGAAGTCAGCTAGCTTGGCCAGCCTGGTGCAAATCTCTGGGCAAACATCACCGCTGAGGTGTCCCACTTGGGACTGGCTGGATTTGTTTGTTTGTTTTGTTAATCTTCACCAGAGGATATTTTCCCATTGATTTTTAGGGAAGGTGGAAGAGAGAGAAGAAGACAGAAACATCGATGTGAGAGAAACGCATTGATTGGTTGTCTCCCACAAGAGCCCTGACCAGGGTCTGGGCCAGGGAGGAATCTGCAACCAAAGTACATGCCCTTGACTGAAATCGAACCCAGGACCCTTAGTTTGCAGGCCAATACTCTATCCACTGAGCCAAAACGGCCATGGCTCAGCTGGATTTTTATACCCTCACCTTGCTTAGTCTTAGATGCAGACTGCCCTGAGAAGGGCATGACTTCTGCAGCTGAGGCAGATCCTAGCAAAGCTGGTGGCTTGTGGCTGTCTGTTGACCACATTCCCTAGTCCTTCTTGGAAAGAGTTTTGGGCAGCACAGCTCTATGTTCACCACACTGCCCCAGGCTAATCCTATTAAAACCCAAGAGTCCAAAGGCTCTAGCAATGCTGTAGGTGGACAAAATAAGCAACTGATCCATTATGAATGCCCTCACACATCACTTCTCTCATCTCGAGCATCATATTGCACATATGCTAGAAAGTGATCCTAATTACTTTATCTGCCTGGGTCTCTAGAACATAGTTCCCAAGCAGAGATCCAGGAAAGGTTAGACTAAGATTTCTTAAGGCCTCAGAGCAAACAGAAGGATTCCAGACAGATGGCCTCCGCAATGAGCAGCCTCTTCAACTTATCCTATGGTGCAGAATAAATATTATAATATTTAATACTTAGGAGTGCAATGCTTTAGAATCATTAATCTTGGCCTTTCATTCAGTCACTGATCAGATACTTATTGGATATCTATTCTGCATCAGACACTAAGCTAACCATTGAAGATAGAATGGGAAACAGGTCACATAAGGTCACTGTCATTGACACACAAGCTAGTGGGGGGAAAAGATTGAATAAGTAAAGGCAGGAACATAATTAGAAATAGTAGGCCCTGGAAGGTGTGGCTTAGATGATTGAGCATCATCCCACACATCGAGAGGTCACCAGTTTGATTCCGGGTCAGGGCACATGCCAGGGTTGTGGGCTCCATCCACAGTAGGAAGAGAGGAGCAGTCAATCAATGTTATGCTTTCACATTGATGTTTCCTTCTCTCCCTTCCTCTCTTTCTAAAGTCACTGTTTACAAAGGAAACAGTGGTGTTATAGGAAAGAATAACAGGGTAAGAGAATAGGGAAGGTATGGCAAGAAAAGCCAGGGAGACTGGCAGGCAGCAGATCTCGCAGGGTCCTGGGAGGTATGGAATGGTGTTTACATTTTATTCTAAGTGCACGGGAAAACCACTGGAATATTTTTAAGCAATGCATATCATGATTTGATTTATATTTTCACAAAAACACTAGCAGGGTGGCAGCAATGGTGGCAGGAAGGCCATTGAAGAGTGCACTGCAGCAATCCAGACTAGAAGTGATGTAGTTCTCTGTGGATGCTCACAGTGGAGATGGAGAAGAGTGAAAGGATTCATAACATATTTTTAAACAACACTCAATCCTTTCTGCCCTCAAGAAGTTCACCCTCTGTTGGGAAGACAGACCTGCAAATAGATAATATAGCAAATAGTTACTTTGATGAAAATGAAAAAATGGAACAGATAGAGCTTAGCACAAAGCATGGAAGACCTCCTGGGGAGCCAAGGTGCTCAAACATTAGGAAAGTGCTGGTGCTCCTTCCAGCAGAGGTGGCCGTGGGTGCGGTGGCCATGATTACGTGCCCACAGACCTCCACCTGCAGAGGCCTTCACTGACGAAGGACCAAGTAGGATGTCTATCCCATCCTGTCTGTACCTCTTCCACTGTGTTCGTCACTTTTTATTTAGAAATCTGTTTGCATGACAGTTTTTCTCCCTGGATTTTAATCTCCTGGAAGACAGTTTCTGTATTGCTTACTGTGGCTATATTTTTTGATGAGTAAAAGTTTTCTCTAATAATAGTACCACTGATCATGTCTTCATGTTCTAGCCCTTTTCATTTCCTTCACATTGTGCCATAATTTCAAAGGTGCTGCCTTCAGGTGTACTCACTCCACTATGTTCTTAAGGGTAAAGCTCCTGTTCCCTCCTTTTGTGCCTTTTTATGGGTCTTGTATGGATCTAAATACTCAAAGGGTCATCCAAAGATTGCTGTCTGAAATGAGTATTTTAACCACATGCAGTAGTCAATTACTAACTAGTGAACATTTATTCCTTTGTTGGTTACCAGGATGAAGTGACTTTACCTGCTGCTGAAGGGTTTCATCTGCTTCCTGCTTCCCCAGTATGTCTACTAAAAGAAGTCGGCCATCAGAAAAGTCATCACTTCTCCTTCCAACCACTTCTCAACAACCCACACAGATCTCTTCAGAGGAAGAGTACACTGAGGGAGAAGATGACTCTCTGAAAGAGAAAAGGTATCTAGATGAAGATGACTATCTGGAGAAGGTAAAGTATCTAGAGGAAGATGACTATCTTGAGAAAATGTATCAGAAAGGAAAGGAGTCTCTGAAGGAACGAGCATCTCTGAAGGAACAGGAGTCTCTGAAGGAGAAGAAGTATCTACAGAAGGAAAAAGAGCATTGGGATGAAGAAGACCATCTGGAAAAGGGTAAGTATCTGGAAGAGGGACTCCCAAAAGATGGTAGCTTTAGGTGTCTACAGTGCTCAGAAAAAAAACAAGAAATTTAAGATCTAGCCAAAGCTCAAATTATCAAACAACCCATGGTGTGAACAGGTAGGAAGACTCATGACTAAGTTCTATTCACAGCTTCACTAGCCATGCCCCAGAGTACCATGTCAACAGAGTAGACAGGGAGACTTGGTGAATGTAAAGCACCTGTTCATTAAAAAAAAAAAAAAAAAAAAAAAAAGCATGATTTTTACCTTATTGCACAAGTAATATATGTTCATTGTGGATGTTCAAGAAATTATATATAAGCAAAAAATAGCAAAGATCTCTACCATCAGAGATGATAATTTCTTTTGCACTTTGCTTATATCCTCCCCAGACTTTATATAGTGTTTGTAAATTGGCTTTTAAGGTACATTACTAATGTACTTATCTTACCTAATAGTAGAGAAACATGTAAATTGACTGTAGCTTCACTATACCCATAGCCAATCAGAGAGAGTATGCAAATTAACCCAACAAAGATGGCAGTTGATTTGCATACATACCTGGTTCCAGGGAACCTCCTTGGCACCCAGGTCACTCCCAGCCACCATCTGGCAGAGACTTTAGGCTGGGAAGGGGCGGAGCCTGTGATGGGAGGTGTGGGGGAGGGGGAAGGAACACTGCTTCCCAAGCCTAAAGCCTGGGGTGGAGGCTTTAGACTTGGGCAGGGGCCAAGCCTGGGATCGGAGGGAAGGGTAAAATATCAATGGAAACATATCCTCAGGTGAGGATAAAAAGAAAAATAAAGAAAGAAATGTCATATCCTATGAAAGACATCCTGAAAATGCCTAAAGAAAGTTGTCATGTTTTCATGGTGAAAGAACTGGAGTCCATGTTGATGAAAATACCTTGGCGACTGTGGTGACTGGCAGTGGCTGCAGCAGTGGGGTGACAGGGCTGGCACCTTCCCCTGATCAGCCCAGTGGCCTCTCTTTGTGAGAGGCCAGACTGTGGCTTAGGTCTGCTCTCCCAATAGGGAGCGGACTTAAACCATCCATAGGACATCCCCTGAGGGCTCCCAGTATGTGAGAGGGGGCAGGCTGGGCTGAGGGACCCCTCCCCAGTGCATGAATTTCATGCATTGAACACCTAGTCCTATCTAATAAAAGAGTAATATGCAAATTAACCATCACTCCGCTACACCCACAAGCCAATATGGGAGTGAATATGCAAGTAAACCCAACCAAGATGGCTATGGCCATAGAGAGCAGGAGGGACACTTGGGCAATGGAGGAAGCCAAGCTTTCCACCTGCCCTTGCCAGCCTAGGCCTCCACTCAAGGCTACAAATTTTCAATGATAGAAGGTAAACAAATCCAAACAGAAATGGCTGCCACCACAGAGTGAGTAGAAGGCTTGGCTCCACTCCAGACTACAAAGTTTCAATTATAGAAGATAAATAAACCTCAGATTCCAGGGCCTCTGCTTGTGTCGCCAGGGGGCGTGGCTGGCCTGCAAACCATCACAGGCCCCTTGCCCAAGTCCTCCCATGCCCCAAGGGAACCCCCACCCTGCTCTGGGACACCCTTCAGGACAAACCAGCTGTCCCCACCCATGCACCAGGCATCTATCCTATCTAATAAGAGAGTTATATGCAGATTAACCATCACTCCAACACACAAGATGGCTGTCCCCTTGTAGTCAAAGATCCTGCCCCCATGTGGACACAAGATGGCCACCACAAGATGGCCAGCAGGGGAGGGACCAGGCCTGCAAAGGGAGGGCAGTTGTGGGCTATCAGGCCAGCAGGGAGGGCTGTTGAAAGGACCAGGCCTGCAAGGGAGGGCAATTGGGAGTGATCAAGCCTGCAGGGGAGGGCAGTTAGGGGTGACCAAGCCCACAGAAGAGGGAAGTTAGGGAGGAACTCAGGCCTGCAGGGAAGAGCAGTTGTGGGTGACCAGACCTACAGAGGAGGGCAGTTAAGGACAAACAGGCTGGCAGGGGAGCAGTTAGGCATCAATCAGGCTGGAAGGGGAGTGGTTAGAGGATGATCATGCTGGCAGCCAGGGGCAATCAGGAAGGCAGGCAGGCCAGCAGTTTGGAGCCAGCAGTCCTGGATTGTGAGAGGGATGTCTGACTGCCCATTTAGGCCTAAATGGGACCAGGCCTAAATGGGAAGTCAGACATCCCTTGAGGGGTCCCAGATTGGAGAGGATGCAGGCTGGGCTGAGGGACACCCCTCTCCCCCATGCATGAATTTTGTGCACTGGGCTTCTAGTATATTATAATTGTAAATAAATATTACATACTTATATGAATATCATTTCATTTATTAGATTATCTAAAAATTGTTGTAATTGCCTCATTGAATTGTATTATATATTACAACTGCATAATACAAACTATAATTTTTAAAAATATTTTATTGATTTTTTTTTGAGAGAGAAGAAGGGAGAAGGAGAGAAAGAGAAACATCAATATGAGTGTGAAACATCATTCTGTTTCTCCACATGTGCCACAACCTGGGCACGTGCCCCGGCCAGAATCGAACCCATGATCTTTTGGGACAACGCTCCAACCAAATGAGCTACACCAATCAGGGCAAACCATAATGTTTTTAATTGATCCTCTATTATTGATTATTCATTGCTTCTGACTTTTTGCTACTTTTTTAAACAGAACTTTGATGCTTAATTTTATCAATGACCTCCAATTATTTCCAAGAATGCATTCCCACAATCTGTTGCTAAGTCAACAGACACTAGTATGCTTCTTAGGGTGCCTATTGGGCTGTGGGAAGGTGTCATCTTACCCTGCTGGTGAGTACTTAACTTTGGAGTTATTTTTCTCAGACTAGGGCTGGCGTTTCTCCAATGCTGTATCTGTAATTGGCAACTTTTGCTTAAGTGGGGTTTTGTTATTTGGCAGTGGTCTCCTTGTGCTGTTGTTAGAAGTGGTTGATATGCATTCACCCATAGGCCCACAGGGTATCTTCCCTTGATATTATGACTGCGTGGCCATCTCCAACTGGGTACATGAAGTTTAAAAATCCATGTCATGTGCAGCATCTTAACGTTGACCTAGAAGTAAACTAAACTATTTTCCTGGATCCAGTTCTACTACCAACCACAAGTATCTCAGGCAGCTTGAATTTTTTTTTTTTATTTATTTATTGTAAAAAACAATATATTTATTTTCTGACACCACAGCTCCGATGAGTGGTTTTGTACCAAATTTAATGGAGGTTACACAGAATGTTTTATGCATGGAAGTGGGGAGGGGAGAAACCATAAAATTAAAAACAATATCCCAGGTAGCTTTTAGCATATGTTCCACTCCCACATTAATAAAATTCACTTGGAAATTCCTAATAAAAGGAGAACAAAAAACAAGGTATACTGGGGAAGAAAAGACCCTGGAGTTCCCAAAGACAGGCCTCTCTCCCCCAACTTCCCGAAGCCAGGACGCCATGGGCAGGCAGCTTGAATTTTAAATCTCCATCTGAAGACCGGGTGTTCTCAGCAGCCAATAGGCATTTCACCTTTAGGTCCCTGTTGATTAAATCAAATGTATTAGCCTTGGTTCCTACTACCTTTATGGATGCTTAGTTGGGACATCAAAGAGGTAATTTCTCTATTGCTGGGAAGCCCTTTTTTCTGTGAGGCAACCATTAAGCTCCTTCTCAGAATCCTAATATCCCCGCTATTCAAGTAGCAAGTAAGTATAGTTTTAGTACTGAAAAATAGCATTCAAGGCCTTTCTTTTGCACAGTATAAACCAACTATTCTTAATAAGTCTCCTCCGTGCACTGGACCTTAATAAGTCTCCTCCGTGCACTGGACCTTTGCCAATACCTACTCACTAGAGTAGGAGAAACACAATGCTGTAAAGCACAGCACTGAGCGGTGGGCGCACGGTGCCGTGTGCAGATGATGTTTTACTGAGTTGTACACTTGAAACCTGTGTGGTTTTGCAAACCAATGTCACCCCAAATTCAAGTTAAAGGAAGAAAGAAAAATGAAAAATAAATGCCTTGCTAAAAATAAATAAATAAATAAATAAATAAATAGATAAATAAACAAATGAATGAATTAATGAATAAATAAATAAATAAATAAATAAATAAATAAATAAATAAAAATTTAAAAAAAAATGGGAGAGGCACCTAAAACCCTGTAGGGCACATGTGTCAAACACAAGGCCCGCGGGCCAAATCCGTCCCGCCAGGCCTTGCAATGTGGCCCGCACCGCGCTGTCATCACTGCACTCCGCTGCGTTTCCATCACAATGACAGTTTATGACTGTTCAGTAAACCATTCGGCCCGCGATTTAGGCTGGATTTTAGATTTTGGCCCCTTCTCTGATTGAGTTCGACACCCCTACTGTAGGGGAATGCTAAAATGCCTTTAAAGGCACATGGCAGGATGTCTTGATCTATGAAGACTCTGTATAAGAGGTTTACAAAAAGAGTCTTAACTTTTCAAAAGGATTTACATCAAAAGTTATGAGGAATAGTGTCCTCATTAAGACATAACTTCGTTTATCCTTTGTTTTAAGCCTCGGTGCATAACAAGAGTGCCTTCCTGATCCAGATAGCAGATGTTCGGTAAATGCAAATTGAATCAAGTTCAATTTCATTCATTTCATAAAGTCAAGCATATGTATACACACACACATTTATTTTTTAAACAACTTTGTGAATTAATTAGAGCCTATAAAATGAGCCCTAGAGATGACAAATAGGCTTCCATCTCTCGTGCTGATGGATTAGTTCCTTGGGGTTTAACGTAGTAGAGCACTATGTTAAGGAGGATTCTGAGTCTCCATTTAGATTCGGCAGGAAAGAGGGCCATGATCAACTAACCAAAGGATCAGGTGCGAGGGAAGGAGGGTAAGCGTCATTTATTTGTCATTTGGTGACAGATATTAGTAAGTCTGACACAAAGAGCTGTTTTCTTCCTCTCTTCGGGACTTGCCTGTCCAGATTTGAATGCCAGCTCTCCTCCACTTAGTAATTGCACAAGGTTGGACAAGTCACTTAACCTCTCTGTTTTGGTCTTCTTAACTATAATTAGGAAAAACAGTTGACCTACCTTACCCGGTGTTTGTGAGAATGAACGGAGATAAATTGTGTAAAACATTATGAGCTATGCCAGGCACGTAGCTTTAAAGCCTCTTAATTGTAAGCCGTTTATTATAGTATTGTTATTATTATTGTAGTTTATACTCCCCTACCATTGACTTGTGAAGGGTCCTTTACACTCCTTCCTGGCCACACTTGCCCACTTTGTGAAGTGGACATAACAAAAAGACAAGAAAAGATGAAATGAACTAGAATTTGGGAGGAATCTGTGCCGACCACCCAATGACCTATAGGCAGGTGAATGTCAGAGCTTCCATCTGCACTGGACAAGTCAGGGTGGGGTCAGACTAACTACTGCCTCCCCCTCTCTCCTTTACAGGGGTGATTTTCCCCCTGGTTTGTGGGGAAAGACAAAATTAGATGAGCAACCTGAATATAAATGCAGCATCATTCGCCACTGAATAATCAATAACCATATATGACTGGTCTCCCCAGGACGTTGCAAATAGTTTTTGTAAAATGTGAATAGCTCTAATTGGTTTGGGTCAATGGATAGAGTGTCGGCCTGTGGACTGAAAGGCCCCAGGTCCGATTCCGGTCAAGGGCATGTACCTTGGTTGTGGGCACATCCCCAGTAGGAAGTGTGCAGAAGACAGCTGATTGGTGTTTTTCTCTCATCAGTGTTTCTCTCTATTCCTCTCCCTTCCTCTCTGTAAAAAAAATCAGTAAAATATATATTTTTTTAAATAAATAAATAAAAATAAAAAGAATGTGAATAAACGCTGTGGGTTCAAAGTCAGAAGAACCAGCACATGGTAGGGCCTTTGACCTTGGCATGTATGTCATTACATTCCCTGAGGTTCAGTTTCTCCATGTGCAAACATGCCTTTCTACACAGTGTGAAGCAAGAACACTACTACTTAAATGAAAGTACATATCTGGGAATGCAGTGAAAGCTCTCCCACAGTGTACAGTTCATTGTGGAGGAAGATGCTGAGTCCCACGACCAGTTACCCCGCCTCCGCTCTGCTCCTGTACTAACAGCATCGTTTTCTGTGCTTGCCCTAAAGAAGGTCGGGAGCACAGTCCAATGGCATCGGGTGTATACTGTGTATTTCACAGCCTTTGTCTCCTTTCATTCGCCCAGCCATTAGTTAACCCTCCCTTCACAAACAAGGAACCTGGAGCTAGCAAGAGAAAGGGATGTGGAACATTCCAAGGTCGCGGAGCATAATTAGAAGAGCCAGGACAGGCTCCTAAGACTTCTCTTCTTTTTCTTCCGATCACTTCCTTTTCTTCTCTCCTTTCCTTTCCCCTTTCATCCTTTGTTTATGCTTTTTAGTAAATTGTATGCATACTTTAACTTTAGGACAGGGACATAAAGAGAAATAAAATCTATTTTTTTAATTTTTAATGGAAATTTTAAAAACTAGAAAAACATCACCCAACCTACCAACATCAAAATATAAATAAAACTGATTCACATTTTAGTGATTTCTATTCTGTCCTCCCACCCTTAGTTTTTGCATACCCAATGGTTGTGGTTCCTGGTTTTGTTGTTTTGTTTTTCCTGTTTTAAACATACTATATATACAGGTTTGTATTTTACTTTTTTAACTTCAATATATACCTCTATTGCTTAATTTTTGGAGACTTCATTTTAATTGCCAAGTAATATTCCTCAATAATGTCCTGTCACATGGGTAAACTGTGAGTAAGTATAAGCATTGAACATGTAAGTTTCAAGTTCAAATTTTCTGATTATCATTTCTTTACTGTTTCCACTGTACCATGCTGTGTTACTAGAATTGGTGGCATATTTTATCCCAATTGTACATGAAATTCTTGATGTTTTATCATTCAAGGCAAACAGGTGGTTAAATGACAAACAGGTTCTTCTAAGTCAAAACATAATGTTTATGATTTTTATATTCTCTGAACCTCAGTCACCTTTTCTGTACAGTTATTCTCCATCCCATGACAAAGGGAGCCCCTGTGATAACTCAAAAGATTAACACAGCAAATTTGAATTTCCAAAACCATGATTTCATGAAAAGTATTTTCTTTGGTAATATAAAATTTCAACCTTAGAACTTCTGAAGGAAACAATTTAGAGAGACAACACTAAGGAAAAGTAAAAATAAAATAAAAATTTGGGCCTCTCCAACCCCAGCATCATATACTTAGCAACACATTTTTAAACAGAAAGAAAGTTCGTTTCTTTTTTTCCCCAATATTGTCTTTCTCTTCTTTTTCCCAATAGGACTCAATGTGATTTATACATCGTTCACCCTGCCTAATCTTAATGAGAGGTAATCATTTTCTTTTTTGGTAAATCGGGTGGAAATTCATGCTCAGGGATAATCTTTCAGGAGCCCTTAGCTTTCCAAAGATTGGGGAGAGGGGGGGGGGGGCGCGGAGAAGTGGGATGCAGGGAGTAGGTCCCCTGAGGAAGGAGGGGTTCGTTCGATCAGGATGAGGGCTCTTGGAAGTCACACACACACAGGATCACCTACCAGTACTGCCCTCCTCTGCCGCTCAGTCACTCACAGAGTCCTGGCAGCCAGAACTACAGAAGTGAAAGGGCAGGGGGACTGAGTTTGACCTGGAGAGAGAGAGAGAGAGAGAGAGAGAGAGAGAGAGAGAGAGAGAGAGAGAGAGAGAGAGAGCGCGCGCAAAGGGCCCTTGGGCAGTGTCCAGGATGAGCAGATGAATGAATGCCCAAAAGGAAGTTGCAATCTTCCTTGCTCGGGCATACTTCCAAAGTCTAAATGATCATTCAATGAGGATTCATTAAACTGCCACAGGGCTTGGCACACACTAGACTAGGGGTGTCGAACTCAATCAGAGAAGGGGCCAAAATCTAAAATCCAGCCTAAATTGCGGGCCGAATGGTTTACTGAACAGTCATAAACTGTCATTGTGATGGAAACGCAGCGGAGTGCAGTGATGACAGCGCCGTGCGGGCCACATTGCAAGGCCTGGCGGGACGGATTTGGCCCGCAGGCCTTGTGTTTGACACATGTGCACTAGACAGTCAATAACATACTTATGGGATAAATGATTGAAATGCCTTAAATGTGCTCAGCTCTGTGAAAACATGTGGGGAGGGGGGAGGTACACAAGACTTATGATTCACAGTCCTAGTCTTTGAGTCTGGGCCCCTACAATCACTTCCCAAAGCATGATTATTCCTCTCCACGGGGAGATGGGTTGACACTAGATAAAAAGAAAGCACAAGGCCCGTTTGGTTATGGTGAGAGGCAGGAACAAAATCCCAGTGCTGAGGCATTGGGAAGCAACAGATTACAGCTTGAGGGCCCCGGGCTCCATGCAGGGGTACCCCTCGGCCTGACAAGGCTGGCTCCCACTCCTGCTCTCCACTTGTCCTTTCATTCCACGCTTCACACTCCCAGAGGCCAAAAACGTGGATCTGACAGGATCACCCACCAGGGCAATGTATAAGAATGACTTTTCAAAGACCCTCCCTTGCTTCTGTTACGGACACACCAAGACCATTAAGCAATGCGGCAGCGAAGGGCCCGACGTGCTATGACCGTGGGGGAAAGGCTGTGCTTGAGAACGGGAACTCTGGAGCCTGGGTTTGCATCGCAGCTCCTCCAGCTGTGTGCCATAGGTCAACCACTTACTAGCCCTCTGCCTCGCTTTTCTAATCTGAAATATCGGCAGTGGGTTTAGGCCTCATAGGCTGTGGTGAGAATAAATGAGTATGAGCTCGTGGGGCCACTGAGAACAGTGGCCAGTGTGCAGGGCACGCCAGAGGGTGCTGAGGCCCTTTGTTGTTCTCTGTTCTGCGCCCTCGAGTCCACATGGGAACTTAGGGTGCCCAGGATGAGGATCGTGGTTCCTGGCCAGCTTTACGTCAAGCTCATCCTTTCTCCAGAGGTTAGCTGAGTGGGTTTTCTGTTCCCGGGGTCCTGAGGAAAACATGGCGACCAGAGAGGTCTGTCCATGTGCTCTGTGGCTTGGGTCCCCAGAGTCCAGGTCTGAACCTTGGGTGCTCAGACAGGCCCCGGATTTTCCTCACATTAGGTTGCTGAGAGAACGAACCCTCCACAAACCCCTTTAGGCAAGAGATGTCACACTCGTGTTTGTTAAGGCCAGGAGTGAGAAAAGCGAACAGATTCAAGTCAAGTGTTTCCTGGGACCCTTATAAATAGGAAGGCTTCCTCTCCCCCTCCACAACCACACCCCAAAGGCCCCCAAGCACAAAGGCCCCATCCCCTCTCTGAAGAGGCTGCAGAAGACCGCCTGGAACCAATGCCCCCTGGGATCCAGGATCCAGTGGGTCCCCTTCAAACTCTCCCCATTGGATGGGCCAGGGAGCAAGTGTTTGCTCCCATTTGGTGGGTGCTGAGGCCACAGCGAGCCCTGGCAGGTGCCCCGAAGGCCCTGCGATGTCCCAGCCTGGGGCAGTCACGGCAGGGAGGGTGCTAAGCAGACGTACACAGAGATGGAGATGACCAGCACGGCCCACCATTGCCTTAAGTGCATTTCCTATGCTGTTTGGTGGCTGTGGCTCTCAAGGTCCTTTCATGAGGGTTCCCATTATCTCCTTGCCTCTCAGTGGGCATCTGAGGAGTGAAGTAGGACAGACATTATCCCACTGGAAGGACAGAGCTCAGAAGGGGCTCCTGGCCTGGTCTTGAGGCCTGGAGCAGGGCAAGAGTTGACACTTGTGTCCACTAGTTCTTAAGCCCTGCAGTCACCTGGCCAGGACCCAAGCATCTTGCCAGGTGACCCGGGGCCCCTTTCAATGGTCCATCCTGGGAACAGCCACTCTGCCCCAGCCCACTGGCCTGCTCAGACCCAGGCTCACCCACAAAGTGGCACAAGGCCTGCCTGGAATGCCCACAGACGCTGAAAGAGAACAGCCTTCTATGGTGTCTCCTGGGTGGGAAGAGCAGCCTTCTCCTCTCTCCCTCAGCCTCTTCACCAGCAGCCCCTTCCCTGCCCTGTTCCTGCCTCGGGAGCCCTGACCCAGGCAGAGAGGGCCTGTCTCAGAAGGGCTGCTGAGCTTCGTACTTCCCCTATGAGAATAACAGCAGCTAGCATTGCCCCCACCTCATTTTGCCCTCACCTGGTCCCTTCTACTCTGTGAATCCACCATCGGGCATGGGCAGAAGTCAGCAGGCTGGAGAGCAGCCACCACCACCCCAACTTCCCAGCAGGCCGAGCATGGGTTCCTACCTGGCCCCTGCTGGGAGGTTGACTGAACCCTGTGCTCCCCTCTGACAGAAGCCCAACTGCTGGCGTCTCTCAGACGAACATCTTCTTCACCGTCACTTCTCCCACCTCTGAATTTGCCAGCAAGTCTCCTCAGCCTTCCACGGAGCCTTCTGCGGCCTCCAAGAAGGATAGCAGAAGATCCATGCCCTGGCAAGACCGGGGCACGCAGACAGAAAGCGCCTATGACAGCCAGAGTAAGGGAATGGCACCTGCTACCCAGCCCAGCAGGGCTCTCTGGGGGCGGCAGGGGGGTGGGGGGCAGTGCATTCCAGGCCTGTGAAACATCAGGGCTAAGGACTCTCTCAGGCTGATGATATATACTGCTTCCTACGCCATTTGAAGTTGTATTTTGGATAAGAAGTTAAATTCCTCTGCTAGTCCTATCACAGCCTTCCTCCGTTCCAGGCCTTCCTCGGGGAAAGTACCAAGGCAGTTTCCTTCTTCAGGCTTTCCCTGTCTCTTCGTTCGTCTTCTTGTTCTTATTCTGCATGAGCACAGAGCCGGTTTCCCTCAGGGACCATTTCCTTCCCAGATCACAGAACGGTTCCCGAGGTGACAGGCTGCCCCAGACTCCCTGCCCATTGAGCAGTCAGAGCCAGCCCCGTGAGGTTTGTGGCCACAACTGGGAGACTCAAGGGAAAGTTCCGCAAGGTTCCAGTGGGCAACAAAAAGGCCTCTCGCTCTAGGATCCTGGCATGGGAGGCTCAACAGCATTTGTCACCATTATTAATAATTAAATCCAGCCTTGGGGAGATTGAGCCATCACGGATTCACAGATCCATTTCACATCTGTAGTCATGGCAGCGATAAATTAAATTTCCCCATCACCTCAACTCCATGCCCCTATCTGTGCTGCTAACTTTTTTAAAAATATATTTTATTGATTTTTCACAGAGAGGAACAGAGAGAGACAGAGAGAGAGAAACATCAATGAGAGAGAGACATCGATCAGCTGCCTCTTGCACACCCCCTTCTGGGGATGTGCCCGCAACCAAGGTACATGCCCTTGACCGGAATCGAACCTGAGACCTTTCAGTCCGCAGGCCGACGCTGTATCCACTGAGCCAAACTGGTTTCGGCTGTGCTGCTAAATTTTATAGCTCAAATGTGATTAGATGAAATTAGAAACCAGAAACCCCATAAGAAGTATGGAGAGAGAAGGGGCAGCCCACACAGCCAGAGATCCGGGGTACAGGCAGCACTTGATGAGGAGTGTTTTACAGGCAAAGTCGAGTCATGTCAGACCTTTGTCATCATCTGTGTTCTGATGGGGCCCCAAGAACTGGAACCATTTCCAAGTCAGTAAGCATGACAGCTGGGGAAAATCTGAGCATTTCTCTAAATCAGTGGTTCTCAACCTTTCTAATGCTGCGACCCTTTAATACAGTTCCTCATGTTGTGGTGATCCCCAACCATAAAATTATTTTTGTTGCTACTTCATAACTGTAATTTTGCTATTGTTAGGAATCGTAATGTAAATATCTGTGTTTTCCGATGGTCTTAGGTGATCCTGCTAGTGGATCGCGACCGCTGCTGTAGAGCCTAAGACCATCGGAAAACAGTTATATGAAGGGTTATGTGAAGGGTTTTCTTTTTCCTTCTGCCTAGAGTTTACAATATAATTTTCTGGAAAGCACTGGCAATAATTGGGAAAAACTTGCCAGAAATAGGCGCATGATTATATCTGGCCAATGAAAGGGAGCAAAAATGTAACAAAAAGGCTTCTCTGAGAGATTAGTTACACAGAAAGAGAGAGAAGTGTGAAGGTAGAAACCAGGAAATGTGGAGGCCCTGGAAGCCAGAAGAGATCAAAACCAGGCAAGAGGAGGAAGGGAAGGTGACACAGGGCAAACGATCTGTGAATGATGAAGGTGTGGACCCTGCCAAGAAGGAAAGCCAGCCCTCCTCTGCTGGAGAACAGAGCAGGAAGGCTTCCCCAGCGAGGCAGATGCAAAAAATACTCTACTTTCAGCCCATGGCAGACACCACCCAGCCACCTGTCAGAGAAACATGGACAGTCAAGACAACAGCAATCCAATGAGCCGGAAGTTTGAGGCCAAGGGCCAACAGAAGCACACAGAGATGATAGCAGGTGTCAGCACTGCTGGCCCACCAGGTCCAAGACTGTGCGTCCTGCTGCTGGGAGCTGGCACAGAGGCACATTCCCAGGCTTTTTTTTTTTTTTTTAATCAGGATCCCCCCTCACATCCTTAACAAGATCCCCAGAGGATTCCAGGTACAGGAAGGTTGGAGAACCACGCACCTCAAGCGTAGGATTCATATAATGGGTTCAAGGTTCCTACTTTTAAAACTTTTTTTATAGACTGTTTAAACCCAGTGGGCCAGAAACAGCAATTTACATTGGCAAAGCCCTGTACACGTTGGGTTGTAAAGTTAGTTAGTCGTGTCCTTCTATTGCTAGTTAATTTTAGCTTCGCTGTCAAGGAAACTGAAATCAGACTTTGAACACAATGTGGAGGAAAAACAGGTAAATTCTTGAAACTTTAGGACAGCGAGTGGAAGGAACGCTAAGGGTACCAGAAACACCTTGCCGCCCATGTGAGGCGTGTGCTGAAGGAGGACCAGAAAGGCTGTTGGTGGCCTAGGGTGTCCCCCTGTCCAGGCACACAGCAGGGTCAGAAGCAAAGCACCCCCAAAGCTCTGACACAGAGCAGTGCCTCCTTGCTGGTAGCAACCCTCAAGACTTGGTGCCTGGCACAGAGTGAGCACCTATACATAGTTGTAAAATCCTTGTGAAATTGTTGTTGACACCATATCTGATTCAGAGCAGATACGGTGATTACAGGGTGTATGCTACTTTCAAAACACAGCATTGCTAGGAAGGGAACTGGGTCTAAAAAAAAAAATGTGTGTGGGGGAGACAAACAGAAAGAAGGGAAGTGCTATCAGTAAAGTAATTTACTTCACGCCACCTGGCCAGACAGAGAAGACAGTTGGAAAAGCTGTCTTCAAAAGTACAAACCAGCGTTTGCAGGCGGTTCCTTCAGTGGACTCGTGTTTTGAAAAATCACACACAGGGATTTAAAAAATAAGAATGTTATGTACAATAAATGTAGGAAAATGGCTCAAGCTTTAAGCAGAGTGTCAGGAGATCTGCAACCAAGGTACAGACCCTTGACCGGAATCGGACCCTTTGGTCCACAGACTGATGCTCTATCCACCGAGCCAAATTGGTTAGGGCTTAGGTCACTTTTTGACAGTAAGCTCAGGGAATGGAAATCCAGTAGACCCAAATTATACGATGTGTTTCATTTTCAAAGCCTTCCTGATGTTCCTGTGGACAAGATAGAGAAATATCGGGGATGCCAATGTAAGATGATGCAGTGGTAACTGTTGAATAACCACTGGAGGTACTAGTTAAGGATCAGAGTCAACCTAGTTTTCAGCAGGGAGACACACACATTTTATCATAGACTTGGGTAGGGATATAGAAGGGAGATTTGTGTTTGTAGATAATCTGAATCTGCTGAGTGATGGGAATAATGTAATCAGATTCTTGACAAACAGAAACGTGGGGCCAGAACTAGTTAGATAGAAGATAATGGTAATTTATATTAGATACTGCTGTTAGATCGACAAAAACAACGGGATAAAATGTAAAGTAGGGAGGCCCTGTTTGTTGTAGAGTTAGTCAACTACAAGTGCAATAAGTCAATGACATGACTGATGTGAGTGCCAGAAAAGTTAAAATAGCCAAATATCATTAAAAGATTCTATAAGAAGGGAGTAGTCCTACTTTAGCCTGCACAGCTGTTCTCTCCAAGAGCTGTCACACTGTATGAGGTCTTGAAGCAGACCAGTGGGACTTGGAGGAGAGGATGGTGGTAGGCAGACCAGAGACTATACCACTCAAAGAACTGTTGAAGCAAAGGAGGTGTTGAGTCTGGAAGGCACACATCTTTGAGACAGTGTAACTGCCTTACAAGTATCCGATGATCAGCCATGCAAAACCAAGACCTGACTTCTCCATCTGCATTGAAGGCCTAGCGTAGGACTGGCTTTGGGAAACATATTAAGAAATTCTTCCTAACAGTGAGAGCCATGCCACAGCGGAATGAGTTGGGGAGTTCTTGGTCTTTGGAGGGCTCCATCTCAGGCAATGACTCGCACATGTGCAGAGGCGTCCAGGCACCACAGACCAGGTCAAAGCCTGACCCTCCTGCAAGCAGGTGGTGCAGTTTGGCTTTCCTTTCCCTTCATAGGCCTGCCCCTCTCCACTATGAAGCATAGAACCTAGGGTGTGTGCATGCACATGTGTGCGCGCATATGTTTCACAGTTAGAAGAGGGAGAGATGAGGATGGGGAGGCAAAGGATTGAGAATTGCAAAATTCCAGAAGACATAAAGTCAGCCTCACCAAGAACTTTTAAAAGTTCTCAAAAATCTACAGGAACTTCCTGTGTTTCCCATTCAGCCCCCAGTATGCACCTTTGGGGAGCAAGAAGACAAGAAACACCACTTCCTTCTGTATCAGCCATACCCTTGTTTATCTACATGGTCTTGGAGCCACTTGGCTCTATTGTTCTAAAGCTACAAGGTGCATGTTCAACCCGTCATGCTAGCTATCCTGGAACCTTAAATGGACCTCTGGTGACCAGAGGAGAAAACCACAAAGGGGCTACATTTCCTAACCATTGGTTCATTGCAGTCCTAGAAAAGTGGAGGAGGGGAGAGGGAACATCCAGTATATACCAGCAGTCCCTTCCAACCCATTTCTCCCCTCTCTTGGTCAGCCTTAGGTCAAGAAGGAACCTTAGACCCTAAATATCCAATATACACCCACTGGGAAGTGTGAGGTTAAAATCATTAATGGTCATCCTCTTCTGTCTTTTTTTAAAATATGTTTTTATTGATTTCTGCGAGAGAAAGGGAGAGAGAAAAAACAATAGAAACATCACTAATAAGAGAGAATCATTGATTGGCTGACTCTTGCACGTCCGCTACTAAAGATCGGACTTGCAACCCGGACATATTCCCTGATTGGGAATCGAACCGAACCTCCTGGTTCATGGGTCAATGCTCAACTATGAACCATACCATCCCAGCCACACTCTTCTGTCTTTTAACAGAACCTTCAACATCAAAACAAAAATTAGAGCAAGAAGCCCTAACAATACTACAGATTCCAAAGTTGGATTCAGAAGGTATCATTTTAATCTTATAATTTGATTATTTTATTTATTTATTTATTTATTTTTAATCAATCTTTATTGTTCATATTGTTACAAAGGTTCCTCATTTCTTCCCCCCTCCACCAGGTTCCCACCCCACCCTCTGCCCCCTCCCCATCCCCCATTGTCCTCATCCATAGGTGCAGTTTATGTTTAGTCTCTTCCTCCCTCCCTTTCCCCAATAGTAAACCCCTTTTCAGATAGTAAATCAGTTACTTAGCATTTTCTCATATCAATAATACTACCACATGCCCAATGATACATTTCACACAAAAGACATTTCCAAATAGGTCAACCAGCCTCATCCAGGCCCCACCCAAGGCACTCACAGATCAACACCCCAGCCCTATACTAACTCAACACATCCAGATCTAAGCCTTCATCACTTGATTCAGCAGACCCTCAAGTTCCCGCAAAAGTTTCCAGCCATGTCTGAGAGGCAGCCGTGGGGCAGGGGCAGGCGAGGAGCGAGCTGTTCCGGGCCTGGCTGCTCCGGACCCGGCCTCTGTTGCTCTGGTTCGTTCCACAACCAGCTGCTCCGGGTCTGGTCACCGCTGCTCCCGACCTAGTTGCTCTGGACCTGGCTGCTGCTGCTCCGGGCCTGGCCACACCCGACCTGGCTGCTCTGGGCCCGGTTGCTCCGGGCCCAACCGCTCCGGGCCTGGCCGCTCCCAGCCTGGCAGCTGCTGCTCTGGGCCTGGCCGCTCCCAGCCTGGCAACCGCTGCTTTGGTCCTGGCCACACCAGACCTGGCTGCTCCGGGCATGGCCGCTCCCAGCCTGGCAGCTGCTGCTCCGGGCCTGGCCGCACCAGGCCCGGCTGCTCAGAGTCTGGCCGCTCCCAGCCTGGATGCTACGGGCTTGGCTACTGCTGTTCTGGGCCAGGCTGCTCCCAACCCGGCTGCTCTGGGCCCGGCTTCTCCGGGCCCGGCCACTCCGGGTCTGGGTGTTCCTGGACTGGCCACCCTGGGCTTGGCTGCCTCCGCCTCAGGCCTGGCTGCTCCAGTTCTCAGTGCGCGCGACTCTGGGGGCTCTGCTTTTCGCCACTCCCCTGGGATTCTGCCTCACAGGCCCGTCTCCCCCTGCCCGAGCCTGGGTCCCCAGGGTCTGGTCCAGGACTGGGTTCAGAGCAGTCTGGACTGAGGCTCAGCACCGCCGGAGGCTTTGTTTCTTCCCGCTAGGGTAATCCAGCATCAGAGACAACATTCAGTCCTCTGCGCGCAATGTGCGCGCGACTCCGGGGGCCCTGCTTTTCTCTGCTCGCTTGGGATTCCGCCTCACAGCCCCGTCTCCCCCGCCAGAGCCTGGGTCCCCAGGGTCTGGCTCATAACTGGGGCTCAGCACTGCCGGTTCGGGGGTTTAGCCCAGGCTGGGGGTTTTATTTCCTTCCATAATTTGATGATTTTAAATGATTTGTGGAAGTTACAAATCCATCCACAAGAAAATAAGCACAGAATTATCAGGCCCCAGCCAAAGAGAGTCCTCTTTTGACCTTTTTAGACTAGGACGTTTTAGACCACATGTGTCAAACACAAGGCCCGCGGGCCAAATCCGTCCCGCCAGGCCTTGCAATGTGGCCCACACCGAGCTGTCATCACTGCACTCCGCTGCGTTTCCATCACAATGACAGTTTATGACTGTTCAGTAAACCATTCGGCCCTCGATTTAGGCTGGATTTTAGATTTTGTCCCCTTCTCTGATTGAGTTAGACACCCCTATTTTAGACTAAGAATAATTAAAGCCAGATACCAAAGCATTATTTCTAGGGCTTAGTGTCAAAGCTCAAGAATCATGTAAGAAACTGAGCCAAATTTAACAAAATCAGAAATGAAAGAGGTGAAATAACAACAGACCCCACCGAAATACAACAGATTGTTACAAAATACTATGAACAACTCTACTCCAACAAACTGAACAACCTGAAGGAAATGGACATATTTCTAGAAAAATATAATCTTCCAAAACTCAATCAGGAAGAATCTAAAAATCTCAATAAACCAGTGACTTGGGAAGAAATTAAAACAGTCATCAAAAAGCTTCCAGCAAACAAAAGCCCAGGGCCAGATGGCTTCACAGGAGAGTTTTACCAAACATTCAAGGAAGAACTAAAAACTATCCTCCTCAGACTATTCCAAAAAATCCAAGAGGAAGGAACACTTCCAAATTCCTTCTATGAAGCCAGCATCACCCTAATACCAAAACCAGATAAAGACAACTCAATGAAAGAGAATTACAGGCCAATATCCCTCATGAACATAGATGCCAAAATCCTCAACAAAATCCTAGCAAATCGACTCCAGAAGAACATCACAAAGATCATACACCATGACCAAGTAGGATTTATTCCAGGAATGCAAGGATGGTACAATATCCACAAATCAATAAACGTGATACATCACATAAACAAATTGAAAGATAAAAATCATATAGTCATATCAATTGATGCAGAAAAAGCATTCGATAAAATCCAACACCCTTTTCTGATAAAAACTCTTAACAAGATGGGAGTACAAGGATCATACCTCAACATAATAGAAGCTATATATGATAAACCCACAGCCAACATTATACTCAATGGGCAAAAACTAAAACCATTCCCTCTAAGAACAGGAACAAGACAGGGATGCCCACTCTCGCCACTCCTGTTTGACATAGTACTGGAAGTACTAGCCATTGCAATTAGACAAGAGGAGGAAATAAAAGGCATCCAAATTGGAAAAGAAGAAGTAAAGTTATCCTTATTTGCAGATGACATGATATTGTACATAAAAACCCAAAAGACTCCATTAAAAAACTAATTGACTTAATAAATGAATTTGGCAATGTAGCAGGATACAAAATTAATGCCAAGAAATCCATGGCTTTTCTATTACACCAACAGAGAAACTGCAGAAACAGAGACTAAAAAAGCAATTCCATTTACCATCGCACCAAAAAAATTAAGATACCTAGGAATAAACTTAACTAAGGAAGTAAAGGACCTATATGCGGAAAACTACACGACACTGAAAAAAGAGATAGAGGAAGATGTAAGGAGATGGAAGAACATGCCATGTTCATGGATTGGTAGGATCAACATCATCAAAATGTCCATACTTCCTAAAGCAATCTATAGGTTCAACGCACTCCCCATTAAAATACCAACAACATATTTCACCGACCTAGAAAGAACTCTCCAAAAGTTCATTTGGAACAATAAAAGACCCCGAATAGCCACAGCAATCCTGAGAAAGAAGAGTAAAGTAGGAGGGATCTCAATACCAGACTTCAAACTATATTACAAAGCCACTGTTCTCAAAACAGCCTGGTACTGGCACAAGAACAGATATATAGATCAATGGAATTGAATCGAGAACCCAGATATCAACCCAAATCACTATGCTCAATTAATATTTGACAAAGGAGGCACGAATATACAATGGAGTCAAGACAGTTTCTTCAATAAGTGGTGTTGGGAAAATTGGACAGACACATGCAAAAGAATGAAACTAGATCATCAACTTACACCATTCACAAAAATAAACTCAAAATGGATACAGGGCTTAAACATCAGACAGGAAACCATAAAAATACTAGAAGCATCCACAGGCAGAAAAATCTCAGACGTATGCCAAAAGAACTTCTTCACTGATAGTACCCCTAGGGCAATGGAAGCTAAAGAGAAAATAAACAAATGGGACTACATCAAAAGAAACTGAGCCAAATTTAAATTTGAATTAAAATTGAATTTTGAAAGGGGAGAAAACAGTATTTTCCAGTGGGGTTAGGAGGCAGCATAATGGGGTATTCATACTCAGTTCATTCCATGACATTTACTGTATGCCTACTGGCACTTATTATACACCTTCTGTATATTGGGCAGGATATAAAGATGAATAACTCCAGCATACCCTCTCAGAACTTAAATTATAGTGGGTAAAGTAAAATATAAACAAAAAAGAAAGGAATCAATATGTATTGAGCATAAGCTACAGACCTCAAACTGCTAAAGATCATGGAAGCTTCTTATCCCAAAATATATGATCTCCATCTTGGTCTTCCCAGCCATTTAGGAGATGATTTTAAATTGATTCCCTCAAGGTCTTGACTAATTCACTCCTTTTTAGTATATGAAGTGCCACAGGAGGAAGAAAATGGTGAGAGTCCCATGTGATATACCCAAAGCTCCCTGCTTCCCGCAGAGAGTCCTGGGCTGGGCATGCTGCCCCGGGAGGTGGGTCCAGGCTGGACCAAGCCCTAGAGAGGACCTAGGGACATGCTGGGTACACAGCCTGGAATCTGGGTGTGCTGCCTCCCTATCCTTCCTAAAGAAGGGAGATAGATAACAAAACAGAGAGGGTCTCTGGAGCAACACAGAGTGACCTGGCATAGAATCAAAAGTCCATCTCTCTACTCAATCTTTGGTACAGGGACTCCCACATTTAAAGAATGTCTAGTTGGTGGCTGAGTTCCCTGAGGTCTGGGAAGCAGGACTGGGCTGGAATGCAAGAGATCACTGATGACATCTTGGTAAGGAATAAGTTAGCCTTTACACCAGGGGCCCTTAAAGACTTATTGCATTTTTTTAAGGAGAGGTTCATTGAATCTCGTGAGGGAGAAGGACAGGGGAGAATCCTTACGGCAGTAGAATCCCTTGCATACATCACTTCACAAAACAAAAGCCCTGCAATTAGCCAGGCCATCTTATTAGACAATAATTTAGGCACAGTGTTCTGTTATCTCGCAGTACGGTGGGTGTGAGGGGAGGTGGGGTGGATCAGAGCTTTGATCCTAATACACAAGTGGCTTATCAAACAAATTTTTTCAGACTCTAGACTCTGCATTCCAGCCACCCCACCACCACCACCACCTCCACCACCCCTCCCCCAGAAGGGTATAGATCAATTGAATTTATTTTATTCCATTTCTGGTAAGGGAAAGTGTTAGGAGCTGTGCTGCTCAGACTTTAATGTGTAGAGAAAGAACCAGGAGTCTTGTTAAAATGCAGATTCTGACTCAGTAGGTCTGAGGTCCTGCATTTCTCTCAAACACCACCAGCAGCTGCTGCTGCTGCTCCAAGGACCACACAAGGTTCCAGATCAGCTTATGGATTTGTGCCTTTAGGAATCACCAGCCCAGCCCATGGCTCACCTGTCTGGTAGAAAGGAATCCACTGCATGAAGGGTGGAGGAGGTGAAAAGAGCACTGAGTTGCAGAGCTGGGCTGCTCATTCCTTGGAGTGGGCACCCGGCTGGTTATTTGTTGCCAATCCCCACCCTCATCTCATCTCTATCAGGGGATCTATCTTGCAAGGCAATCACTCACGGCTCCAACAGCTCTCCCAGGTTCAGGGACTGTAGTTCTGTCAAGAAAAACATTAGAAGACAGGCATTGATTGGATGGGGGGAAATTAAGATTTGTTCTTTTTTTTTCTTTATTGATTAAGTTATTACATATGTTTCCTTATCCCCCTTTTATCCCTCCACCCACTCTCCACCATGCCCTCAACCCCCTGTTGTCTGTGTCCATTGGTTATGCTTATATGCATGCACACAAGTCCTTTGGTTGATCTTTTCCCCTTACCCCCACTCTCCCCTACCTTCTCTCTGAGGTTTGACAGTCTGATCTATGTGTCACTGTCTCTGGATATGTTTTTATTCATCAGTTTAGGTTGTTCAGTACATTCCACAAATGAATGAGATCATGTGATATTTATCTTTCTCTGGCTGACTTATTTTGCTTAGCATAATGCTCTCCAGGTCTATCCATGCTGTTGCAAATGCTAAGAATCCCTTCTTTTCTACTGTAGTGTAGTATTCCATTGCGTAGATGTACCACCATTTTTTTAATCCACTCATCTGCTGATGGGCACTAAGGCTGTTTATAAATCTTAGCTCTGGTAAATTGTGCTGCTATGAACATAGGGGTACATATATCCTTTCTGACTGGTGTTTCTGATTTCTTATGATATATTCCTAGAAGTGGGATCACTGGGTCAAATAAGAGTTCCATTTTTAATTTTTTGAGAAAACTCCATACTGTTCTCCACAATGGTTGCACCAGTCTGCATTCCCACGAGCAGTGCAAAAGAGTTCCTTTTCTTCGCATCCTCACCAGCACTTGTCATTTGTTGATTTGGTGATGGTAGCCATTCTGAAAGGTGTGAGATGGTACCTCATTGTTGTTTTGATTTGCATCTCTCAGATGATTAGTGACTTTGAGCATCTATACTAATAAAAGGGTAATATGCTAATTAAACTGGACACCTTCTGGACATCCTTCCAGACAAAGCCCGCTGAGGCAGAGGCAGTTAGGGTCAATCAGGCCAGCAAGCAGTTAGGAACCAGTAATCCCAGATTGTGAGAGGGATGTCTGACTGTAATTACATTCATTACATTAATTTCTTCTTTGATCTATTTGGTAACCCAATCATTGTTTAATAGCATGCTGTTCAGCTTCCAAGTGTTTAGATTTTTTTTTAATTCTTTTTATTATAGTTTATTTCTAATATTATGCCACTGTGGTCTGAGAAGATGCTTGATATGATTTCAATCTTCTTGAATTTGGAGAAAGTTTGACTGTGACCCAATATGTGGTCTATCTTTGAAAATGTCCCATGTGCACTTGAGAAGAAAATATATTCCATGGCTTTGGAGTGAAATGTTCTGAAGATGTTAATTAAGTTCATCTGATCTAATGAGTCATTTAGGATTGCTGTTTCTTTGCTTATTTTTTGTTTAGAGAATTTATCCAGTAATGTCAGTGGAGTATTAAAGTCCCCTACTATGACTGTATTGTTGCTGATCTCTCTCTTTATATCTTCTAGGAGTTTTTTGTTATGTACTTGGCTGCATTGGGTGTATATATGTTTATGCACCAGGGTTATATCCTCTTGTTTTATTGATCCCTTTAGTATATGAAGTGGTCTTCCTTATCTCTTATTATGGCCTTCACTTTGAGGTCTAATTTGTCAGATATAAGTATTGCTACCCCAGCTTTATTTTATTTTTTTCATTTCCATTTGTCTAAAAGATATTTTTCTAACCCTTCACTTTCAGTCTGTGTGAGTCCCTTGTTCTGAGGTGGGTCTCTTGAAAATAGCATATATAAGGGTCATTTTTTTTATCCATTCAGCCACTCAATGTCTTTTGATGGAGCATTTAGTCCATTTAAAGTTATTATTGATAGGTACCTCTTTATAGCCTTTGTGTGTGTGTGTGTGTGTGTGTGTGTGTGTGTGTGTGTGCATGTGTGCCTGTGTGCCTGTGTGCCTGTGTTCCTTCTTCCCTTTTTATTTCTTTTTTTTACACCAGTTCCTTTAGCATTTCTTGCCTTGCTGACTTGGTGGTGATAAACTCACTTAGCTTTTTATTGTCTGTGAAGCTCCTTATTTCCCCTTCAATTTTGAATGATAGCCTTGCTGGATATAGTATTCTTGGATTCAGTCTCTTGCTTTGCATCACTTTGTAAACTTCCTTCCATTCCTTTCTGGTCTGATGTGTTTCTGCTGAGAAATCATTTGATAATCTCATTAGGTATCCTTTGTAAGTGACTTTTTGTCTCTCTCTTGCAGCCTTTAAGATTTTCTCTTTGTCCTGAACGTTTGCCATTGTAATTACAATGTATCTTGGTGTGGGTCTTTTCAGATTCATCTTGTTTGGGACTCTCTGAGTTTGTGTGACTTTTTTCTTCTCCACATCAGGGAAATTTTCTGACATTATTTCTTCAAATAAGTTTTTTAACCCTTGTTCCTCTTCCTATCATTCTAGCATCCCTATTATTTGTATGTTGCTTTGTTTCATGTTGTTCCAAAGCTTTCTTAGGCTCTCCTTCTGTCTTTCAATATTTTTCTCCACTTGCAGTTCAGTTTGGGTGAGTTTTGCTTTACTGCCTTCTAATTCACTAATTTGATCCTCCACTTCTCCTAATCTACTGTTGAAACTTTCCATGGTGTTTTTTTATTGCAGCTACAATATATAACTCTATTTCTTTTGGATCCTTATATATGTTGTTAGTTTTTTCATCCATCTGGTTTATGAACTGTATGACTCTTATTCTGAATTCTTTTTCTGACATATTGTATGCCTCCATTTCACTTAGCTCCTTTTCTGGCAATTCCTCCTTTTCTTTCCTTTGAGGATTTCTTTGTCTTCCCATTTTTGCTCTCACTGAAGGATCTAGGTGTCGAATTATATGGGAGTTGCTCCTCGGGCAATCATGGCAACAGGTGCTCCTCAGTTGGCTGTGGCTCCTCTGCTTGGCATTGCTTGTGTGGCTGCTCACAGCAGTGGTGGCTCCTTTGGCTGGCAGGGGCATGCTGCTCCTCAGACAGGGGTGGGCTGTGAGCAACTGCAGAGTGTGAGCAACTGGGCAGGGGCAAGCTGCATGGGGTTGCTGCTCCTTTGATGGGGGCAGGCTGCATGAGGCTGCTGTTTCTCAGATGGAAGCGGGCTGCTTGCACGGCTGCTATTCTCATGATCATGACTCCCTGGGCTAAAGCATTGGGCCAGCCAGAGGGTACAGTGCTTCAGCACTCATAGGAGCCTGTGGCTGGGGTGGCTGGAGTCTCAGTGACTGTGGAATCACAGCCAAGGTGGAAAGTGCCTGGCAGGGATGGCTGTAGAGTCCTAGGTAGTATCTGAGGGCATTCTGGTGGAGCTGAGACTGGGCTCCCAATCACATTAGCTCTCTCCTTCAAGAAGAGGAGCTGGCCACCCTGGGGCTGTTTGCAATGGTGCAGAGGTTGCCTGGCTAGACAAGCCCAGTCTTCCTGCCCCCAAAGGTACTGCAGGATCTAACTGTCCCTCACTCATGTACACACACACACACACATACCTCTCGTGTCCACACACTCCTATTTTGCTCCCTCACTCACGCTCTGTCCCTCACTGCCTCCATCTTCCTGCCTCTGTAGTTGGGTCTGGAGTATTATTGACCCATTTGTGGGTTGCATTTCCTCTCTGGGTGTCTGGTTATATCCATAGAGGCCACAAAGGTACCCAGCAAACCACTCAACCTGGGCCCCTCAGAGGACTCAGCTGGGGCCAGCCCAGCACACTTAGCAGGCTTAGTGGGCTGTATTGATGTCGCATGGGCATGCGCTGCCAGCTACCCCAAGATTTGTTCTTAATCAGCCATGGGAAAGACACACTCCACTTTAGGAAATCCTGTATGCCAGGCACCTACCTACATTGGCACTGCTCCTCTGAGCCACCCTGAAGAGGAGGCTTCTTGTCCCCATCACACAGATGAGGGGAATAGAGGGAAAGAGCTGCATGGCCTGTGGGAGTGGCCATATCCTGTGTGACAAGCTGACACTCCCCTCCCCCACCTCACCAAGCCTCCCAGAGAGCAATTTCTGGAGAAAATAATGATCTCGCTCCAACAAAGACAGAGGTTGATGGAAATCCTCAAAGGGAAAGTTAATGAGGAATAAGCTTTTCCTTCTCATTCAGGCCCAGAAATGCCTGTTGTTGTGTATTTACTGTGCTTGTCTTGACAAGTAGACAGTGTCATTGATGTTAGTAAGGTTAATTATGTCCAATCAGACACTTGTGATTCCATATTCAAGACTGCCAAGTCACCTTCTTCCCCTGATAAACACCTCCTTTCCCCCTCAAGTTAACTGTGTACTGTTCCATAAAGCCTGTTCAAGTAGTGCGATCGCAAACAATGGGGACTGGCTACACTCTCAGGGCCAGCGCCAGACTCTCGTTCTCAGTCTAGGGCAGCAATGCTCAGAGTCTTTCCTGGGGGCACTGCCCCTCCGTCCCGGCTGCTCCTCACGACTCCTCTCCTGTGACAACTCAAAGGAGCTCCCTGACTTGCATTCCCTTGAGTTCTTGCTGGGTTTTCCTGGATGGCTTTTTTAAAACTTCTCTTAGCGGTGTCCAGTTGAGGGACATCCAGTGTTTTGGGGACCGAGCTGAAAGAGGCCCTAGCTTTTGCCAGTTGTCAGTTCCGCAGTGGGATGATGTGTGCCTGTGGAAACTCCAGAAAAGAACTGCCGGGGGGGGGGGGGGGGGGGGAGCTCTCTAGCCCGGAATCCACTGCATATGGGCAGGTTTCTGCCAGGAGTAAACCAAAGCTGTGCAGGAGGTCTGTAGGCACTGAGTCTGGTGTGTGTACAGGCAGTCCCAACTGGGTGGGATTCTCCATCCACTAGGATCCTGACAGAGTCAGAGCTTTTATTCTGAACCAAAATTGGGAAGAAGTACAAAAATAACATGTGTGGAGATCACAAAAGATGTCCCTTCTCCATTCCTAAGGGCCCAACAGGGACACAAAATCAGACAACACAAGTCAGCCCTGTGCCGGCCTGGAGGGTGCTCAGGCCTCTCTGGATGAGAGCGGTGCCACTCTGAAGCCCAGCAATCTCCCCGGGGACCCAATTATAAGAGAGCCCTTCCTGCCAGTTCTGCCTCCGGATGCACCTTCCCAGGTGCAGGAAAGCAAGACCCAAGCTGTAATTATCAGTTCCTTGATTCAGTTTGCACCCCTTCGACACTGGAGGCTTGAAGGCCCTTTCCTGGCCAGAGAGTCACCAGGCTGTGGCTGCCCTTGAGAACAAAGGCATTCATTATCTCCAATAGGCCTGTTTTCAATTTGCAATTATGAACCATATGCAATTCCAGAAACTGGCAAATTTTGACAAAACTGGCAGGAGGTAGTAATATTTTTCAGGATTTCCAAGAGAAAATCACACTCAGAAAAAAAATCTCTCTCAGAATGAAATCTAAAGTACTTCCTTCAGCCTACAAGGTCGTAGGTGAGCTGGCCCTGCCCCCTCTCTCCCCTCCAGCCACCCTCCTTCACGCTCACTCCTCCCAGTCATATGGTTCCTCTTGTGGTTTGTGAAATGGGTCAACCGCGCTCCCACTCACTCTCGCCTCACGGCCTTTGCCCTCTGGCCTCCTGGCTGTACTGCTCTTCCCAGGCGACCTGCCTGCTTCATGCAGGACTCACTCCAATGTCCTTTGGTCAGATAAACCTTCACCAGACACCGGAGCGCACACTCACTTTCCTAAGTCAGCCACTGAAGCTTACCCTTTTGTTCCTATTTTATTAATATCTTCAGGTTGAATGTTGGGAAATTTGATGGATTCACTTAAAGCCTTATCGATGATGTGTGCATTTTTATTTAAAGGGACAAGAGTACATGCTGAAAATCTATTTTATTTTGGTTTTCGTTTTCGTTCCTCTTCCAAATGTCTTTCCTTTGCTTTGCCTTCCAATTAGGAGCCACGACGTCCGCCCCTCCGACTAGCGTGTATAATACTGTGTTAACTGAGAACCTTGACAAACTGAGTGACGTGGACCTCGAGGACACTGTAAGTCGGAGAAAAACCTGAGACCACCTTGCTTCCATGTTGGGACGGGAAGCCCCAGGTCAGCTGGCTCTGCCTCAGGAGCCCTGGTATTCTTCGCTTCACTCTGTTGTTAGCACAGCCCAAATGGGCCTTCCTTATAACAGACCTACATTTCAATGACACGCGTTCAATCAAAGAGGGTCATAGAAAGCCAAATGTGTTGCTCCAGGGCCTGAGTTTCAGAGTGCCCTGCTGGTAATATAAACAAATATTCTCAAGATTGCTTTTGAGTGTAGCCAGGTGGCTCAGTTTATGGGAGCATTGTCCTATATACCTAAAGGTTGTGGGTTTCATTCCCAGTCAGAGCACATAGCAAGGTTTCAGGTTCAGTCCATAGTGGGTAACAGAGGCAACGGATTGGTGTTTCTCTTTCATCTCTCCCTCTCTCTCCATCTCTCTCTCTATCTATCTCTCCCCCCCACCCACACACACACACACACCTTCTTCACTCTCTAAAATCAATAAAAATATATATTTGGGCAAGGATTTAAAAAAAAAAAAAAGATTGCTTTAGAAATCAGGAAAGCCCAAACAAAGCCTAAGTCATCCACATCTCAAGGCAAATCATTCTGTGTAGAAACCCTTTGTAAAAATTAAGTTAGATTCTGGAAAGAGGATGTAGATGTACTTTTCCCACTAAGTACAGCATAAAACCCTAGACATTGCATATAAAACAAGCATAAGAAACTTCTGAAGGCAGAGAGAAGGCCAACTGACTATGGACCTGAGGACTTCATGAATGACATGGCAGCGAGTTTCCTGAGTTTTCTTTTTGCTTCACGTGTCCCTGGCTGGGTGTTAGCAAAGACAGCAACCGACAACTGAATAAACACGGACAGAAAAACCCCCAAGGTGTGCAGGGCAACGTGACATATCCTAAGGAAAGCCTGGTGCTTCTAACCAAAAGGTAGGAATGGGGCAGCCTAGCAAGCTAAACCTCAAACGGCACCCTCTGCAAGCAAACACCGCAGCAAACAGTAGTGAACCACCTGGGGGTCTGCAGTCCTGCTAACACCGCCCTCGGAGGGACACAGAGCCAGCCCCGGAGGGTCAGCAGGCGTCCTTTCCCCAGCTGTACCCAGTAACCAAGATGAGATGGACGTCGTGACAGCGTGAGCAGGTATGTGGTACTGTCTTTATTGCACCCATTTCTTCACTGCCGGCACAGCCTAGTGGCTCTAATTCCCTGTGTCAAACCTCCAAGACTCACCACACAGGTTGACTCAGGCGGAAGCGCTATGATGCATCCTCTCCGCTATGGCTGAGAAACTTCTTGGGATTGTGGGTACTACCGTATTTTCCGGTGTATAAGACGACCCCCTAATTTTACAGTTAAAACATAGGTTTAGGCCTATATTCGCTGTATAAGACTACCCCCCACTTCCGAGGCAACACCAGTTCTTTTTTTAATAGACCGCCTCTCTGACTCTGGCCAATCTGAGAACACTGTGTTCTAGTAAAAAGCTGCTCAGATTGGCCAGAGTCAGAGAGGCGGTCTATTAAAAAAAGAACTGGTGTTGCCTCGGAAGTGGGGGGTAGTCTTATACAGCGAATATAGGCCTAAACCTATGTTTTAACTGTAAAATTAGGGGGTCGTCTTATACGCCCGGTAGTTTTATATGCCGGAAAATATGGTAACTGAAATCACAAGACTGAAATCGTGTATGCCTGGAACTCAATATTAAGCAGATGTGTTTTTCTAAACTTACAAAAGAAAAGGCAAAAAAAGAAAAAAAACTAAGTTGTTTGTTTTAATTGGGAAATTTTCTGGTCTCAATTCATAGTTAGCCTTAAATTTCATCCTTGCTTCTGTAAATATTACAGGGTAGGACAAAAGTAGGTTTATAATTGTTCATATGAAAAATAATACAATAATTAATAGTCATACAAGAATAAACTCTGTGTTTTGCATACGCACAACTGTAAATCTACTTTTCCCCCACTCTGTATATTAATAAGAATTGCTTTTCAAGTACCAAAATATCACATCCAAGGGAGAAAAGAGATTGCTCAAGAGCTTAGATTCACTGCATAGCATTTACTAAGACAGGAAAGTAACACTGGCATTTTACAATAGAAACATTCTCCAACAAGAATGAAAATCTAAAGGAATTGTTTGGTTTAGAAACTGCAATCATTCTGAAACCTTCAGCATGCCTGTGCATTGAGGTTTGACTGTCTGGGCAGAGCTGCGGTCACAGGCAGAGGGGATGTCTCCCGTGTCACTGTGCGGGCTCCTGCGTGAGCATGGCACTTTGGGAGGGTTCCGTGTGATGGGGGGGCTGTGCAGGCAAGCTCCAATCACAAGCACCTCGCCTCGTCATCTCAGGGGCTTTGTCCTAGTGACAAAGTATGGCCTAGAGTTGGGAGATACATTCCCCTGCTGTCTATACCACTCTGTCCCCGAGGATCGGAAGCTTAGGAGGATGCTGAGGTAACACCAGTGTCCCAGATACCGGCACTCTCGTGATAGGCGGCTATATAGCTAGGTGAAGTGGTACGTCTCCAAACCATGTCATCAGCAGATGCGGACAGGTGGGGCCAGAGCAGGACAGGAAGAATGGAATGAATGTCACAGGAGACCTACAGCTGAAAGACTTTTGAAGCCCCTATGGGGGGATTCCAGAAGCCACTGGGGTACAAACTAGGGAGGAGTTGAAGTCTTCCCATTTGGATCGGGGTTATCAATCAATATTTTGGTTAGTTTGACAGTTCAATTACTTTGCTATTCTTGATTCACTTTGCTTGTTTTTATTTCTATGGCATGCCCATGAATCACAAACCCTGCTAAGCAAACTCTTTTAGCTGCAAGAACCAGAGATTCACCCAGGATTCATCTCCGGGCATGAGAGAACTCATCACTGGAGTGCCCAATACGCCTACCCTGATGATGAGGATAGTTCTACTAGGCTGGGGAAACAAATGCGACCAACGTCACAAGGTGTCACGTGCTGGCTAAACCGAATGGGCTGGCACAGCCTAGGTGGGGTGAGAACTTCAGCTAGGCCCACCCAGTGGGTCTGTTGTCTAGCAGTGTTTCCCAAAGTGTGGTACGCGTACCCCCAGGGGTACGGGAAGAGTTTGGTGGGGGTATGCATTGCACCGGAGTTTGGTGGGGATATGCACTGCACCATGCTTAGCTGCGCCTAATTCTACGTTCTCATGAGTACAAGGGGCACTCAGCGTTATGAAAATTATAGAAGGGGTATACATATGTCAAAAGTTTGGAAAACACTGGTCTAGTGGATACAGTGAGCACCGTATTTTCTGGTGAACAAAGCACAGAATGCAAAGAAGATGCTGAGAGATCACTGGCCTAATAGGAAATTGCTCTACCCAAGAGTGGGATTGTCAATAATGAGGAATTTAGAGGCAAGACACTACAGGCCTTAACCTCAACCTGGCCAGAAACACCGATTCCAGCATTAAAAGGTAAACATGTTAAGAGTTTATTTGAGACCAAGCATCTGTGACCCCCAGAACGCGGATCCCAGGGGGGGCAAACACCTGCCCTCACAGGATTGCCCCACTGCTCAGCGAAAAGGTCAGATTTCGCGGGGAGAGGGTGGAGAGCGCTCGCAGTGAAAACGAAAAGCCTGCGTGAACAGAGCGCACTTGCGGAAGCTGGAGGACAAGGGCGGTGATTACAAGTAGAAGCCCCCGCTGTTGGGCTGTTGTCACCCTTGAAAGTGGACGGGGCTCCTAACAGGGGAGATATCTAAAGAGCAACACATTTGGATCCGGCTCGGAGGGATATCGGAGAGTTGCGGGAGATTCCAGTTGCTCGGACCTGCCCCCTCCCCCCCTCCGTAGTTCCAGCTTCAGAGAGGAAGAAAAAAAAAAAAAAAAAAGCTGGAGAGGCTCTAGAGCACACATGTCAAACACAAGGCCCGCAGGCCAAATCCGGCCCGCCAGGCCTTGCAATGTGGCCTATAGTCCGGCATCCGATGTGGTTGTGCGGGTGGCAGAGCAGAGGAGAGAGTGAGTGTGCGGGCATAAAAAATACACAGCAGAAGCTGCCAGTTCCTGGCATAAAGTGCAGGCATAAAAATCGCAACAGAATCTGCTATCTGTACCCAGCCAGGCATTTATTGACTGACTTTTTTTTTTCTCCACTCTATCTGCCAAATCAAGCTATCCCTGTGCAGTTTTCAACTTTTTCCTTCTAACGCAGATTTCCAATAAACTACATCTTTTACTGCCAATATTGATCCCAAAATGTCCAGGAAAAGAAAAGTTGACGGTGAAGGCAGACAATTTAATGACAAATGGGAAAATGAATACATGTTTGTGCTTAGAGAGGGCAAACCAGTGTGTATATTGTGTTATGAGACAGTGTCGGTGATGAAAGAGTACAATATACGTCGTCATTTTGACACCAAACATAATGTTAAGTATGGCAAATATACTTTGGAAGAAAAGCATAAAATTGTTAAAGAACTAAAAGGCAAACTACAATCACAGCATCAAATGTTTACAAAGGCTACAGCGAAAAATGATGCTGCAGTGAAAGCAAGCTTTATAGTGGCTGAAGAAATTGCCCGTACTTCAAGGTGTTTTTCAGAGGGTGCCTTTTTGAAGCAATGCATGCTAAAAGTGTGTGAGCAAGTATGCCCAGACCAGATACAGAGTTTTCAAAATGTCAATTTGTCAAGAAACACCATTGCAGATAGAGTTCAAGAACTCTCAGGAAATCTATCATCACAGCTGGCCGAACAGGCATGCAGTTATCTCGCTTTTTCACTTGCTATCAATGAAAGCACAGACAACACTGATACAGCGCAGCTGTCCATCTTTATACGTGCTACGAAGACCGACCTCTCTGTCACTGAGGAATTTTTGGATGTAGCTGCCATGCATGGGACGACGACTGGTAGAGATATATTTGAGGCTGTGGAGAAATCTATAAATAATTTTAAATTACCCTGGGAAAAGTTGGTGGGGCTAACTACCGATGGTAC